AGGAAGTGAGCGAGGCCATCTTGGATGTTCCAGCCTCGGCCAAGCCGCCCCCACAGGCCGCAGAGCTGAGCCGTCCCTGCTGAGTTCTGCTGTAATTGCTGACCTAGTCCTGGGCAACACGGTGGATATTGTCTCAAAACACTGCATTTTGTGTTTTCAAACTGAAAAGAAGAGTGAACGAAACAGTCATCCACGACAACAGCAAGTTCATGGTAGTTTTAAATATTAAATAATCTAACTTGAGGGGTGCCTGGGTGGCTCAGTCGCTTAAGCTCCCGACTCCTGATTGCGGCTCAGGTCGTGATCTGCACGGACGGTGCACAGCCTGGCTTGGGATTCTCTCTCTCTCTCCCCCTCCCCTGCTCATGCTCACTCTCTCTCCCGAAATGAATGAATGAATGAACAAATAAATAAAACTTCAAAAAATATTATATCTAACTTGGGTTATTTTTTCCAATGGAAACACAGGCGAGACATGAAAACTGCTCGTCTCCAGCCCGAAAGAAGCAGTGGATGGTGTGGCAAAATACGGTCAAGTCTATCAAAGCAGAGTGATCGGCACGAAGCCAGCATCCACACGAATTTCTGTTCTATCTGAAAACAGGAACCATGTTTAAAATACTGTTATGTCACCTACCATCCCTTCCTAATGACTAGGAATGGCTGAAAATGTTCCAATTATTTCCAATAAGCTTCCAATCAAATGTCTCTTGATTTGGAAAGGCTTCCTTGCTTGCCTCAGGTCATTTATATTAAGGCTGTTTTCTCACGAACCCGAAATATTTTTTTTTCATCTCCAGGCTTCTGAACATTCTTCTATCAGCTTCTTTACAGTGTAAAGAGAGGCACGCCAGGACACGGCCTTCAAGTGTCACGTGCACAGAGTAAACTTACAAGCCACCTGTTTGAGAGCTGTGATTTTTTAAAAAAAATTTTTTTAATGTTTATTTATTTTTGAGACAGAGAGAGATAGAGCATGAATGGGGGAGGGTCAGAGAGAGAGGGAGACACAGAATCCGAAACAGGCTCCAGGCTCTGAGCTGTCAGCACGGAGCCCGACGCGGGGCTCGAACTCACGGACCGTGAGACCACGACCTGAGATGAGGTCGGACGCTTAACCGACTGAGCCACCCAGGCGCCCCGAGAGCTGTGATTTTTAACGGATATGTCATTTTCTGATGTGTTCAAGTCAAAGAGGAAATGCTTTTTTACTTCAATCTTGCTCCTGAAACACATATATCATGTTTCCTTGCCTTAGCATAAAGTAGGAACAAAAGATAACTCCGTTCACGTTGTGCCGTGGTTCTACAATCTGGTGGCATTGTTAGGAATTCTCATTCGGACTGGCTCTATGGATATCCAAGGGTAAGAGACCGAACGAGTTTCCAGTGAACACGGGTCACTATGCGGCAACTAACTGATTGTACATTTTGTGTATAGTGATTGTTTTCTCCCTACTTCTCCCTTTCTTTGTGAGGCAATTTATAACAATAACATTCCAAACAATCCTAGAGTAATAACAGGTTTTAGTTATGCTCTGGTACATCATGGTGCTCTTAAAGATTACCACCATTGTATATCAGATGCCTCCTAATATTAAGAATAAGAACAGCCATTATGGAATTTATTCCATATTACGAGTCTTATATTTATTTATAGGTCCTTTAGGAAGAATAACAGTTTGTTCCTTTAGGAAACTCTGATTTGATTCAATTTGAGCTCATAAATATATTACCCAGTCCTTGGTCTCTTCTCTCACATTCAATATGAAACATGAAAATACCTTCAGGGATGAGGGACAGAGTTCAAACACTTAACAATTTCCTGCTGCACCCTAATGGTTTGGATGAAAGTGTAACCTCTTGAAGGTGAGCCTCAAGTTTTAGTGCTAAATTGTTCTGTTTCCTTCTTCTCCTTCTTTCTCCTTTCTCCTTCTTTCTCCTTCTTTCCCCTTCTCCTTCTTCTTCTCTCATCCTATCTTCTCTGATACCCTGAAGGGCTGTGCTAGAGATCTGGTCACCTCCATCCAGTACCTCTCCCAGGCAGGGCACTGGCCAGCTCTTAGGAGTTTTAGCTCCCTATCATGTCACACCCACGGGACATGGGCACTTGGCTCATCCTAAGCCTCTCTCATGGAAGAAGGAAGCAGAGCGGGGCTGAGAGGAATCACCAGAGGATCCAGATGGAAGGTTGGAAGGGAGAAAAAGGTAAGGACAGCCCCCCAAAGGAGAAAATATATTTTCAGACAACTGTGTGAAATCACGGAGAACCAAAAATATCAGTGGATTAGGAGAGGAAAGAAAGAAATGAGAAAAAAAAAAAAAAAGCAGCCATATTTAAAAATGTCTTCCCCCTCTCTCCCGCCCATTTCTATTCCCAAATCTTCTAAAGAAAGGATGAAAGTGTTTCTGTTGCAGACACACTAGGGGTTCTGGGTTGTCTTTGCTCCTGCAGAGCACGAATGCTGAAATTCATTCATCAAGGAAGATTTTTTTTTTTTGTCCCATCTTAAAAAAAGTCTTCAATTAAACATTCTGCCAGCTCTTCTCCTTGATAGCAGAAATGGGTAAGGACACTTAGATGCTACTTAGGATAAAAGAGCTACACTATTTTTCCCATTAATTAAATGTAAAGTATTTAATTTATTGGTAAAATAATTAATATATGAATGAGGCCCTTCCTCCTGTAGCTTAAAATTATTTTTTCACAGCCCCTCAAGTCCTACTGGTGAAGAGATATTTCAGAGAAGGCAACTGAAGACGAACTATTAATTAATCATTCCAAATAAAATGAACAACTGAATGAAGACCGTTTCATGGTGAAGGGTTTCGCACGGCTCGAAAAGAAAATAATTTACTCAAGATGTTAAGGCAGCGCAACAAATAATACGAAGGTGACAGCGTACTTTAAACAGCTCATCCAATGCAATATTTCTTAATTAGGATGGAATTTGCTTGGGATACGTGTGCCTTGAAAATGGACCAGAAAACGCCTCTGTGCATTTTACATCTTGACAGTAATCACTTGCAATATTCTGCAAAGGGATCCCCGGGAGAGCACCAGAGATGTTTGGTGGTGAGCGGTAACAGATAATCAGTCTTGGGGAAGACAGTAAAAATCAGTGATCTGTGGTGTCTTACATGCTCGAGTCAATTAAATATGATTAATGACTACCTGTGAGAGCACACAGGAGCCTGGCTCCCCCCCTGCCCCCAGGGAAAGGAAAGGACAGTGCACCTCTGCTTCATCTTCCTCCTTTATATTCATAGAGGGGCTCCTGCCTGGAGCACCAGATTAGCTCCAGAGAACGCTTGAGGAAAGAACACATTTCCAGAGCAGCAGAAGGGGAGAGTGGAAAGTCCCCCAGGAGTAGGCTCTCTTTTGCCGGCCTTTTTTTCCCTTTCTGGGCAATCCGGTGACCAGGAAGGACGTCGCAGGGCAGGGAATGCTTTCCTGTGGCTCCTGTACCAGAAGCCTGGAAGATGGGACACGCCCCCAGTGCATCACGGGGGCAGCTGGGTCAGTTTCGTCAAACTCACTTTCTGCGCCCCAAGGCTTTGCCCAGCTGCCGAACAGGACAGACCGGCTTCTGCAGGTGGGGAATCTCAGTACGGACCAGAAAGAGCAAGACAGGTTGACCTGGGGAAATTCTACACGGAAAGACAGAGATCAACATACCCAACGAATCGACTGTAGGTCGCAGGTGTGAGAGAAGACGAACACACACTGACCTGTGCAGGTGGAGGCTGTTGCACGAATCCCTGTGGTGAGGGAGGGGCCTGGAGGACCTGCTGGGAGATGGAAGGTCCAGAGCCCGAGAACCCCCCAGCAGGGAGCTGCTGGCCTGTGGAGGCAATGACGTAGCTTGGCTGTTGGGCTGGCTGTGGCATGAGGGACGCTGGGTAGACAGGACCAGACGGGGGCTCAGGAGTCTCTCCTGAGGACTGCCGGCTCAGGTTCATCTGGGTGAACTGCGTCGCCACATCGTCTCTCTGCGCGGAAGCAAAACAGGAAATTAGCAAGATCAGCTTAGTAAGGGGAGAGGCACACAGAGGCAGACACGGGCCACATGCTTGTCGCCGCGGGAGAGAGGCAGGGCGTACAAATTGGAAACGCTACCAGAAAGGAATTCTCTGTCCAGAACAACAAGAGGACATAGCAAGGGGGAGCAGATTTTAATCATCTGGTGGATGGGAGACGGTAAACAATTTGACCAAATCTCCCCCTTTCAATGGAAACAAATCATTATCTCTTCACCGAGGGCTCAGGCTCCTCAGGGTAGTGCTGAGACAGGGAGGGCTTGTCCTCAGGGGTCAGCTGGTCTCCCTGGGAGTCATCACAGCCTCTGCCTTCTGGAGAGAGACAGAAGGACCTTGTAGTCCCCATCACACATGGCCACTGCAGAGAAGCAGCCAGCCAGCACGGGTGGGATTTCCTTTGCATACTGGGGAGTATCGTTCACCTGCCTCACTTGAAATTTAGGGGACATGCTCATTTCCTCTTGTCCAAAAGGACCTAGTCCACTGATAGGAAAGGAAGGGAGAATGGGGGATTGGGGAGCTAGGGGAACCCCCGCATCAGGAGCACAGGGCGACGCTGGTGACCACGTCAACGGACTTTAAGCAGTTTCCCAAACCCTCGCGCCAAGTTCATGGGTCTCTCTGTTGCTGACTTCCAACTCTAAGGGCATTGCATTCCTGCTCAGCTGGTAGGTAAAGTCTCGGCAGGGTACCCGATCGCGGAAGCAGCAACCACGGGACCGATGACAGAAGGGAAACCGTTATTTTGGAGACGGGCTGCAGTGTTCTGGAATGAGACACTCACGTATGCCCCCCTCACGGTCAGCCCGGGGCACCCACCCAGCGTCAGCCAGCCCCGCACAGGACAGGAGTAAAACCAGCCAACATGCGCTCCCGGGGACAAGGTCACAAGCATGTCATACAGTACCATGGGGAACTGCTGCGTTGGAGACACAGGCAGGAGATGCTGGGGAGGAAGAGAGACCGCTGGGTATTGCACTGACTGAGAGGAAGCCTGTAGCCCCTGCACCGACTGGAGGAAAGAGAAAGCTGATCAGGTAACAGGGAAGCACGGGGGGGCAGCAATCCCACAGGAAGGCTGCCTCACCGGAAGCCCACCACATCCCTATGGGTCCTCTTGGCTCGGCGCACCCCCGAGAGGGGAGCCAGCCACCAACGGAAGGTCAAAGCCATGCAGACCCCAGCCAGCCAGCCTCGCAGGAGGCATGTTTGCACAGAGTGATCACTCCTTTAAGAAGTTACTGCAATATGGCGGCGCCTGCGTGACTCCTTCTCGGTGAATTAAGTGTCTGACTTTGGCTCAGGTCATGATCTGACATTTCAGGAGTTCGAGCCCGGCGTCGGGCTCTGTGCTGACAGCTCAGAGCCTGGAGCCTGCTTCGGATTCTGTGTCTCCCTCTCTCTCTGCTCCTCCCCCACTTGCTCGCTCTCTCTCTCTCTCTCTCCCCCAAATATAAACGTTAAGAATATGAAAATAAAAGAAGTTACTGAAATATATTTCATGTCACTGTGGTTAGCTGACTCTAACGGGTCTAACAATACTGCCCAAGGACTAAAAAGTAAGGGTTTTCAGAAAAATACCAACGAGGTTCACTCTGGAAACCTACTTGGGACGCTACAGTTTTCTGTCCCCACTTCCACGTGGTGCCCTCCGAAAGGAGGGCCCCTGCGCATCTCTCAATGAACAGCCGGGCCACCCCCGAACGAACTGATTTCTGTTCTTGCCATTGATAAAGTGTTCAGTACGATCCCTTTGCGGCCATGAGCCCGTGGCCTGTGTTGGGAATGAATGAGCCAGGCGACCCAAAGGCCTGGTTGAAGTTATGAGTTCAGCCTCCAAGACGGGCTCCTTGATGCAGAAAAAACAGCATCCAGACCTAAGAAAGAACTTGGCAGTGTGCTCGCTAAGCAGATCACTGGCTGGGGCATTCACGTCTATCGAAACTGAAGGATCCAGATGAAATCTTGTCAACGGGCCGTCAAGGGCTCTAGGCTGGTTTTATTTACGAGCGGGTGGAGGTGAGCCCAGTGGCAAATATCCCCTCTTCCCGAGGCACCGCTTGCTGCTCTGAGGACTGTGCACCTTTGTCCTGGAACACTCCCC